TTCTTTTTTTTCGCGCTTTCTTCTTCTTTTCCCTGGCATCGTTTCTGTGGGGTCTTTCTTTCTGTGGGGCTGTCTTTGAATATTGTCAGCACTAAGCTGCTCATTATTTGCATTGAAACATGCTTCGACTTTGGTATTAATCAATTTAAATGCAGTTTTTCATTTCATTGCTGTTCTTACTTACTTCAATTATTTTTTTTTTTTCAACATTTTTTTGGTTCTTTCACTGTTCATGTCTTTAGTTTTCTATATTCTGAGTTTTTTCCCTAACTTTTATTGCTATTCGGGCGCACCGCAATCAATCTAGTAAATCCTAGTAACTGCGAGTCCTTGGCTGCGAGATTATTATGCGTTTCATCTTTCGATTTAAGTAAGAGTTTCATTAAATTTTGTTTATTTTTTTTTTGTTAAAATTTTTCTATTAATTTTATTTCATTTGGGTTTATTGATTTGATTTTTATTTTATTAAATTTTTTTCAATTTTCAAGTACATTTTTTTTTTAATTTTATTTTTTAATTTTTTTTTTGTTTAATTTTTTTTATGCTAATTTTTTTTTGTCGTTATTTTTTTGTCAATTTTTTATTTAATTTTCTTAATATATTTTAGCTTTCACGTTTATGTTTTTCTTTATGCAAGAAAATTCTTTACTTTCCACTGCATTTGTTAGTATCTCAGTAAGGATTTAAGTTTATTCGCATCAGTTCATCTTCTTTGGAAAACTTGGCTTTACGGCGACTAAAACCTTTTATGAAATTAACCAAAAACAAAATAAGCAATTTTAATAAAATTTGCTTCATTTCAATAAAAACTTTCGTATAATCAATCTGAAGCTAAGACGGATTGCGAACGCTTTCACATGCTGTAAATGTCATCACTAATTGAAGGAATTGAATTTCTTGTCTCTTCTTTTTATGCAATGTAATGTAATTTGCTTATTGAATTAAACTCCTCGTACGACATTATATTAATCTTTGATAATATGTACCATACAGATAAACCATTCTCATAATATTAAGTACTAAGTTGGCCATTACAGACTAGAGTCATCTTCAGCCGCGTCGAGTAATCTCCGTCAACCAACCCGATTAGTGGCTTGCAGTCGCCAGTTAATAGTCCCGAGCGTCCCAAATTATTGGTCATTTGTTCTTTCCACCGAAAATGCGGACGTCTTCTTAGAAATTAATTCTTACTCTACCGATTCCGTACCTGCGGGTACGGAATCAAACACCTTTTAGCCGAAGCACATTCTTTCATTCGCATGACCAAGCCAGCGAAACCGCTGAATTTTTCATGACCCATTATATTAAGTATATTTAATTCGTTTTTCTTTATTTTCTTATTAATATTTTCACGCCAGTCCTCCTTTTTTTTTATCTAAAACTGAGTATGTGAAGGTTTCCTTTCTAAATTTTTCATTGCTGTTCTTACTTACTTCAATTATTTTTTTCAATTATTTATTTTTTTTTTCCTTTTGGTGCTGTTACTAAGCACTTTTTTCTTATGTTTAATGCTGGTTTGCTCGTTTTTGGTTATAGCACTTAATCGTATGCTTTATTTTACTAAAGTTTGCACATACATATATGAGCTTGCTTAAACATAGATTACTTGCAAGAGTGAAGTAAAGAAATTAATTGACTTAGCAATTAATAATGATCTACGTCCACTATTCAACCTTATGATTTAAATTCATTATGAACAACAGCAGTACTTCACTTTTCTAAAAACGACATTTTTTCTCTTTTGGCACTTTTGGTAACTTTCATGCTACAATCTAGCATTTTACTTTTTGGTGGTGCTGGAAACTCCACGTTTTATCAACATAATCTTTCTATTTGCTTAATTCTTCGATCAAAGTTTGAAGGACTGTATTTTTCAATACCTTTGTTTCCTCTTCAGTGTAAATTTTTCACTTTTTTTCTTCTCCTCAGCTTTTTGCAACATAATCTGTGTAATCTAAACTGGTATTGGAGTGCATTGACAAGCTGAACATTCTTGGCTAGAATAATCAGGTGCACTTAATACGAATTTCGGGTATCAATAACAATAGAATCAAAAAACAATGGAATCAATAACAATAGACCCAGACCCTTCTTATGAACGTCGCAGTCGAAAAGGAAAGAGAACTACCAAGGAAACTACCAAGAGACATATATTTATTTATTGATTTATAAGGTAAAGGTGTTTTAAGTGAATAGGCTATTCGCATCCATTTAACCGACTTTACCGATTAGATTACTATCCGTACGTTCACATAGCTGTTTCCCTGTTTTGATCCGCGATTGATGTTTTGTTTTCTACATTTCTACATACACATCACCTTCCTTCACTTCACTTCTTTTGATGTGGAAAATCCACAATAACTAGTCCCCATCAAAATAAAATTTTGTGTTGGATTGTAATCTGTTAAATAATACCTATACGGAACTGTGAAAAGGAGTAGTTTGAGCAAGGTGAAAAAAGCTTGTATTTTTTACGAAGACGTTGATTAGTCTCGTCTCATACTCGTATACATCATTTTTTAAATTTCTATTTTCATTTTTATTTCTTTCTGTAATAATTGCGAAATCTAATTGAATAGGTTTTATTTTACACAAATTGTGCTTGTCTCCTGGGTGATTTAATGTGGTGTGTCGCAGTATTTCCAACTTTTCTTTCTGTACTGCTGAGACCGACTTAAAGTCCGGTAATGCCACTTCTCTTTTTAATCTGTAATTAAACAATTCATGCTTACAACATATTTACACATTCCATTAAAAAAACATGTAAATTCTCGACAATCACCATTCAAAACTTATGCAATCTTCCTAGTCGTACTTGAGTGAGTGCTCCAACTATAAAGGCAGCAAAGATCAAAATAAAAAAAAAATTTTAAATAAAACCTAAGAGTTGGAACATGTTGGAGCTCCATAACAACCGCTGTGTAAGTAGGCCGCTTGGGTGATGAGTGGTGAACTCCTTTTGCCTTGCCATTTCACATACTTGCTTTGGTAATATTAAATGTCATTTTAAAGCTATTAGGCATTATGTATGTTATGACAATACCCATGCTTCACATGGATACACGGCACATTTTTATAACTACCACAAGCCCTTATATATATAATAATATATGTATATATATATATACAGCATTTTATCTCTCTCGTATACTTTCTTTTACTGTTCTACCGCACTTAAGTGCTTAATTGTCGGGCAACAAAATTGCTTTGTCAATATTTTCTTACAAAGAAGCTTTTACATCATTACACAAACCAACAAACCAACAAACTGGCACAGCACAGCACAGCACAGAGCAGCAGCAGCAAAGGCAGCAGCAGCTCCTCCTGGCCGCAACTCCTACAATTCGGCATCAACATCAATTAAGCTTTTAACATTGACCAAAGGATGTACAAGCATATAAGTGGCTGCTTTACTGACACATCGAGTGTGTTCGAGGTTGTACAAATGCAACCCTGCTAAGTTTAATTGGTACAAAAGGTAGTAGAAATTGTATGTTTTGGTCGTTCGGTTGTTTGGTCTGACGGCCGGTACAGTAACTCCCGCCATTGCCACTACCACTGCCACTACCACTGCCACCGTTACTGCTGTTGTCAGTATCTTAATTGTTAGAAGGCATTGCTTATTGTATGGAATTCGATTGGCGTGAGTGAAGGTGTGGGTGAGGCTAAGACTAAGGCTGAGGCTGAGGGTTCTGTTGTCCTGTAAGTGAGGTTGTAGTTTATGCGTGCTGTTGACGTACCAGGCATTCATGCATGTCCTCTATTATTTGTATGCATTCAAGCCGCTTAAAATGATAAGGGTGCTGCCGCGCTTAAATGTCTTATCACTTTGCATAAATCAACATTATATCGTCTTATTATTGTTCTAGCAGCTCGCATTATTAAATACAAACCAACACGCATACTCCTATGGTCCTATGGTATCCAATATCTTTATGTATGATTGTGTGTGGTGTTGTGAGTGCCTGAAACGTTAATGACTTAATAAGTTTAACAAGAAATAAAAATATAAGTGCTTCTCCTTTTTCATGTAGCATGCTTAGATTTTTCCTTCTTCTTTGTCGGGAAGTGAAGAGCGGGACAGCGACATTCTAAGAGCTAGTAATACTTAAACTGAAATTTAATTGTGCTAAGTGAAAAGCAAATACAACATAAAATGATTCAGCTCCTTTCTTGCGTGTATACTTATATGTATGTATATGTGTATACATGTATGTATGTATGAATGCGCATATGTATTCGTTTGTTTTAACAAGAACTTTTCGTACATTTTCCAGTGAAATATGAAACGAAATTGTTTACTTTTCTATAACAATGACGAGTGATGACGTAGGATGCTAAATTTAAGTAAGTGTTTTTTTAGTAGTATAATCCTACTGAATTAATTTAAAGCATTCTATTATAATCCGATACTTATCTACATAAGTTAATCAATGTCATACAGAACCATGAAAACAAGCGGCACATACTATATAACCTCATCCCTCATCCCACCTCATCCCAAATTTTATTATACTCCCATCTGCTGTTTACTAGTTCACACCTATAACAGTTGATTCTGCATTAGAATCAGGATAGCAAACATAAGCTATCTTAGGCATTATCTTAGACATTTCATTATTATAGACATTATAGACCTACTAAAGCCATAAACGATTGGTACTGATTATATTGTGTGACATTAAATTCTGTTTTTTAATTTTTTAATATGATATAAATATAGGTTACTTTGGAGCTACTAAGCTCAAATCTGCAATCTGTTCTCCACTTGAATATATAGACAGTCAATATAATGGATTAAGGTTTAAAAATTGAGGTTTAAAAGGGTTAATAAAACATTTTTGAGATAATTTTTAATGACTTGTCCATGTTGTAGCTAGTAACAGTTTATCCATAATTTGACTGATTTTCATCACAATGGGACTAATAAATCCAATATTGACAAATAACATAATTTTGGTTGACCATTCAGCAAAAAATGTTTGGATAATACTGTGCTTATGGATAGCAATAATCGTAATAGTCCTTATAGTCATAATAGTCGCTATAGTCGTAATAGTCATAATAGTCGTAACAGTCCTTATAGTCGTTATAGTTGTTATAATCGTAATAGTCATAATAATCGTAGTAGTCGTTATACCTAGCTGTTGTAGTTGTTATAATCGTAATAATCTTAATAATCGTAGTCGTAGTAATAGTCCCTCAAAAAGTTATTACTTAGTTAATTTAATTATTTGATATTTACTTATTTATTTGATATTTACTTAATTAAATTATTTATATAACTTATTTATGCAATCAATTATTTAATTTACTCATTTAATTAATTTATATTATTTATTTATGTTATTTAAATAAAATAAATAAATAAACTAATTTAGTTATTTTCTTTATTAGTTTTATTTAATTTATTTACATAATATTTTTCTTTAATTTATTTATTTAATTTATTTATTGATTGAATATGTTTACTTAGATTCTTAATTTAATTTATTTATGTAATTTATTTATATAATTAATTATTTAAATTATTTATTTATTTAATCTATTTAGTTATTTAATATTTAATATTTAATTGTTTATTTAATTATTTATGTAATTAAATCTTTAATTTATTTGTCTTATTTACTTATTTTATTATATTATATATTTATTTATGCAATTAATTATTTATTTTATATATTTAAAATATTTAATTAAATTGTTCATTTAATTTATCATGTAATTAATCTTTAATTTATTTTTCATTTACTAATATATTTATTTATTATAATAATTATTATTAATTATTATTTATTATTATTATCTATTATAATTAATATATTAATTAAATTATTTATTAATTTATTTATGTAATTAAATCTTTAATTTACTTATTTAATTTACTTATTTAATTTACTTATTTAATTTATTTATATAATTTATTTATGTAATTAATTATTTATTTTATTTTTTTAATTAATTTATTTAATTTGTTTATTAATCTTTCATTTCTTTAATACATTTACTTAATTTATTTATTTAATTTATTTACTTATTTTAATCATATTATTTATGTAATTAATTATTTGATTCATTTATTTATTTAATCTATTTATTTATTTAATATATTTATTTAAATTATTTATTTAATTTATTTATGTAATTAAATCTTTAATTTATTATATAATTTACTTATTTAATTTATTTATATAATTTATTTATGTAATTAATTATTTAACTTATTTATTTATTTAATCTATTTATTTATTTAATATATTTAATTAAATTATTTATTTAATTTATTTATATAATTAAATCTTTAATTTATTTATTTAATTTTAATTAAGTTATTTATTTAATTTATTTATGTAATTAAATCTTTAATTTATTTATTTAATTTACTTATTTAATTTATTTATATAATTTATTTATGTAATTACTTATTTATTTTATTTATTTAATTAATTTATTTAATTTGTTTATTAATTTATTTATTTCTTTAATACATTTACTTAATTTATTTATTTAATTTATTTACTTATTTTAATCATATTATTTATGTAATTAATTATTTAATTCATGTATTTAATGTACTAATTTAATTTTTTTAGCAACCTTAATGAGCAAAACTACCCAAATGAGACAAGTGGAAATTAACTTGTCTAAATGAGACAAGCTAATCCATTCTTATTTTGTTATTCCCCTTAGTTTGTTTTATTTTTTGTCATTCTATTATCGAAGCTTCGATTTTCGTGGAACATGTGCATACACGTTCCAAAAATACAATGACTTCCCGGATTGGCAAAATTGAGTAATTTAGCACGTAGAATTGCAACTCTGGCCATTTGGTGATGTTTTACACGTTGTTGCGTTCGGTCTATTTTACAATTAAGACAAACAGTCTTTATGTCTGAATGTCTATATGTCGAGTCTTAAAATAGTTCGAATTTTACGAGTTCGAAAGATTATGTGAACACATTTTAAAATATTTATAATCTCCGTCACTCCGACTGACACTGTTTATGATGAGTTTGTGAATTTGTGAGACATTGCTACTTTTCACTGGAACTAGAATTTCCTCTCCATAAGTTCACATTAGGTATGTGTAGTCGTTTTTCTAGTAGGAAATCATTCGCATATTGTTTACTAGTCACTTTGCAAGTCCGCTTACGAATGCGACTGCCAAATGCGGCAGTCTTCAGTCTGCAGCCACTTCACTCGCATTCAGCTTCGGTACAAAGTTTTGTTATTAGCACACTTTAGTCCGTCCAGTCAGTCAGTCATAAAATTTCATATATATTTTTTTTTTTTGCTTTTTCAGCACTGCCATTTGGGATTTCTGTGGGGTTTTTATTATTTTTTTATGACATTTGCCATTTTCATAAAAAATTTGCTTCTCTAATTTTGTGACGGCATGCAAGGCGCAACGTGTAAATTGTCGAAAATTGAATTACTTCGTGATTTTCTGCAATTCCCATTCCCAGTTCCATTCCCATTCCCATTCCCATTCCTATTCCTGTTCCTGTTGCTGTTGCTGTTGCTCCAGCTCCATTATTTTTATGAATCCATAACGCCTTCTTCTGGCATTTTTTCCATCAGTTCACTTGTATTAGCAAATAATTTGCATTGTCTATGCACATGCAACTTTTTAATGAGTTCGTCAGCCAAAATTTATTAACACTAAAAATTCTTACAAATTATTTTTAAAACACGAGTATTTTCCTAAAATACCAAGAATGTAGTTCATTGTTCAGTTTTACGATGCCAGTTTATAGCTATTTAATATTGTAATGTGTTGACGAATAAATACTGCAGACTTTCTTTCCCTTCGTAGTCTTTACTGCTAACTACGAAGGGACCCCTGCCTCATGCGAAGTCGTTATATGAAATTCTTTGGAAAAGATGTACATGTACTTAGTAAAATCAGAATTGATTTTTTACTAAATGCAAAGCAGTTAAACAAATCATATACATAATCATATTTTCCCATAATTGAGAAAAGGAAATGATTTTTAACGTAAAACAGAGAAAAGTTAGTGTAGCCATTATAGGTCTAGGATTACGAATAAAGAAGCAGTTATAGTTATATAAAATTAGCATTGATCATCCATTTCTCTCATTAGTTCCACCGTTGATGGCTTTGTTATCAAAAATTTTGCCAACTAGTGGTTTGTCCACATTTCACTGATGTCTCTGAGAGTCAAAGCTCTATTAAACAGACACTCTCTTATAGGAACATCACTCTTAAGCGTACAATATTGTAAGTTCCTGCTTTTCATTTATCGTATGAAGTATATTTTTTTTAAGTAAACTCTACGGTTAACTGAACTGACTTCACTGTGTATGTAAATGGTAATATAAATAATATTTAAGCCTTCTAATAATAACGCATATGGTACATAGAGCACGTCATTTCAAACGACTTCTCGACTTTGTAGGGTCAGCTATTTTAAAACACAGTATTCCCCACACTACAAGTCGATATAAGTAAGTTCTTGAAATATTAAAATAGCGAAGTTTACATGAGTTACATTAAAAAAAACCATACGTGCAAATAATGAGTTACTATTCATTAACACGCCATCTGACGGTTTTCCATAGATGTCTGTTTGAGCCAAAACACTGTCAAAAGAAGGAACTCTGAAATTAATATTTTTCTTAACAGTGCAATATCGCTAGTCCATAGCGTTCATTTTTCATAAAATGCATATTTTTTTTAAGTAAACTCCACTGTTAACTGGACCCACCATCCTCGGTGTCCGGTTAAAAAAGTTTTCACTTTAAATGTTAATGGTAATATCAATAATATTCAGACTTCTAACTATAACACATATATATTAAACACATCATGAGACACGTTTTCGATATCCTAGAACGTCAATACGTCAACGACTTAGTAGGTTTGACTGCTTTAGATAACCTTCTTCTCCACGCATTCATCCCATATTTGAACTCCATATTCTTCGTTAGCTCCTACTGACATTAACAAAGGCTTCCACATCGCATTAGGCGATGCTATTATACTTTCAATTTTTATTGAAAATCTAGAGGGTCTTTGAATTTTTAGACCCTCTATACTCCTGCAAAAAGCCCTTAAGTAAATAAACCTTTAAGTAAATATCTAGAAGAAAACGAATTTCAAAATAACAAAGATGCGATGCTAATGTGTATAACTGTCAATTTTCTTAAATCTGTCGTTCTTGTATGTGATATATGTTCAAGATATAGAAGGTTTTCGGATCTTAGACTTAGTTCAGTTGGATTGAACGTATATCTGTTTAAATTTTTTGTTAAACAGTTATTCAGTTGATATTATATCCAGTAGATATCTAAAGTTCAGTTGATTAGTATAAATACCTAGAAGTTTCAAGATTTTAGAATTGGTTCCGGTGGTTTGACCGGGTATCTATTTAAATTTTTTTTTTATTTTTTTTTTGATATGATATCTAGCAGATATTCAAAGTTCTGTTGATTAATATGAATACCTCGAGGTTTTAAGATTTTAGACTTAGTTCCGGTTGATTGATCGGATATCTGTTCAACTTTTTTTTTAAATAGATATCCAGTTAATATAATATCCAGCAGATATCCAAATATATCTAGAAAAGAAACAATTATTCTTTTATTTTTTTTAGAAAAGGAAATACTTTCATAATAACTTACTTGTACAGTTCATTTCCAGCCCCAAATTAATTTGTTGTCTTGGGTCTGTCAATGCCGTATCGTAAATAATTATGTAGTCTTCAAACTATCCTTGTCGAGTTTCTTGAAAATAATTTTTTTATTTTTATTAAATTAAAGTTTCGCAAAAAGTAATTTCTGAAGAAATCTAGTAAATGAAAATTTTATTTATTCTCGTTCGACTTCATTTATTTATCATTATATGGCTTCAGAAGTTCGGTGGCTTTCGCTGCCAAGCAATTCGATTAAATTTACACTCCACACATGTTCCAAATTTGAAGTTTTTTTTTGTGTTCTCAAGTTTCCTTCCTTAATCAGCGTGTGAATGCTTCTGCCGGCTTGATAAAGTAGTGTAACTCAGTGAAATCGTGCACATCTCTTCCATCCCAGCTCCAATGAACAAATTTTCTATACATTGTAAATTACTAATAAGATTGTTAAAAATTTATTATTGTTGTGTGTTACCGTACACTTTTCGCCAACGGAAGATATTAAAAGCATTTCAAAATCAAATAAAATTATAACTGAACGTGCCTTCTGAATTGTTTCGTTTCTTGGGTCTGCTCTCCGCCACTCATCTCCATCAGTGAGACACCCAAGCATTTCCAACAATATCTTCATTATTGCCATCGTCATCGTCATCGTCATTGTCATTGTCATTGTCATCGTCATCATCCGCAGAAGTCATACACGTTGCGCCAAAGGAATTTGTCAAATTGTAGCGTTTTCTAATTCATTTTTATTTCTATTTTTTTTTTTTTTTTTTTTTTTTTTTTTGTTAAATATATCTTCTGTTTTATTTCTATTTCTATTTTCATTTTCGTTTTCATTTGTTTTTATTTCTTTTGTAATATTAATTTTGAAATTCTCTCACGAGTTCCAGCTCAGCTACCCTATTTTATGTGACTTCGTTCGGGCGTGCTGGTGTCTTCCTTGCCAAGAAAATCATAGGAAAATCGTAAACGAATGCATTAATTTTCCACCAAAGTTTTTGGCAATTTTTTTTTTTATTTTTACTTTACATTTCAGTTGTTTATTTGGAAGTTCCAATAATTTTGTATTTCCAAACTCTATGTTCCTTTTGTACATTTTTACTTATTTTCACCCTTTCTCCTTGCAGGTGTTTCAGCTGAGGTTTACTACGTGCGCGATGGTCATGTGAACAATTATGCGTTCAATTTTATTGTCCCGGTGCCGGGGAACGTGCGTGACATAAATTTTACCTGGCAAAGTTTGGCCGGTCGTGCACTGCCGTACAGCATTAACGTTGTCACATCGGATCATTCGGTATTACCGCGTCCCGCCATGAATATTTCGCAAATTGGCGAAATACCAACGACGGTGCAAACATTTTCGATCAGCTTAAAATGTTCGGGAGCACGTGCCGCTGAAGTGGATGTCACCATATCGATTGAGGTTATATTGAATCGTGCTCAGAACAATGTAACGCATTTGGTGTTTCGGCGTAAGAAAATTTGCTTTTTGGACGCAGTGGAGGAGAACAAAGTGGATGACCCATTATTGCTTGAGACAGTTGTGCCACCGCCGACAGGCATTATTACGCTGATTGTTGGCAGCTTGGTTGCATTGGCTTTAGCTGTTATTATAATGCTGGCCACTTATTGTATACGTAGCAGTGAAAAGCATCAAAATCATGGGCAACCGATGCGCACCTCCAGTTTTCAGCGTCTGAACACAAATCCGCCTTGTCAAACTGCATCGTATATAACACCGTCAGGTATTCCACCAACACATGATTCATTGCCACGTAAAAGCGAACAACAACCGGAAGAATTGCATCGTCGGATATCTGAATTAACAGTTGAACGCTGTCGTGTACGACTCTCCAGTTTACTGCAGGAAGGTACTTTTGGGCGTGTCTATCGTGGCACTTATAATGAAAATCAAGATGTTATAGTGAAAACTGTTGCGCAACATGCTAGTCAAATGCAAGTTTCTCTACTACTGCAAGAAGGCATGTCCCTCTATGGTGCTTCACATCCTGGTATTCTTTCTGTTCTGGGTGTATCGATTGAAGATCATACAACACCATTCGTACTATATCCAGCCGTACATAATACACGTAATTTAAAAGTATTTTTACTGGAACCATCTTGTGCACGTACTGTCACTACAATTCAAACGGTTATGATGTCATCGCAGCTGTCTATGGCTTTGGGACATCTACACAGTCACGGAGTTGTGCATAGAGATATAGGAACCAGAAACTGTGTGTAAGTATTTGTATAATATTCCATTAATGTATTAAGTATGAATCGTTAGGCATTTTTCTGATATCGAGTAACGACTTTGATAATTGAATAATGTGAATCGTTAGGGTGGAGTGTCTACAACAGTATACTTGCACCCAAATCTTTAATAAGTAAGATACTTAATACTTTCTAGTAATAGTACCGTTCTTGCTGAGTGCATACGGCGCGTTTATTTGTGCGTATCTGTCCAGAATGTGAAATCTCTCCACATAATCCAATACTACCGATATTTTCCGTAAGATCACAGATCTACTCAAGACGTATTTAAGAGGTCACATAATAATCGGCCTTGATATTGTATTTTTTGTTAAAAAATAAAACAATTCTGTTGTTTTTTTTTTGTCTCAATATTTCAAGAGTCATCTGTAATCACAATATTGATATCAAAACCTTGATAAGAACTTTACTAATATTGTTTCGAAATATAATTAATAGATTGAAAATTATTTTTTGTTGTTTTTATTTTAGCATCGACGATCAGCTACGTGTCAAATTATCAGATAGTTCACTCTCACGCGATCTATTCCCGGCCGATTATAATTGTTTGGGTGATAGCGAAAATCGTCCAATTAAATGGATGTCACTAGAAGCTTTACAGCATAAACAATTCTCTGAAGCTAGTGACTCATGGGCTTTTGGTGTACTCATGTGGGAACTATGCACATACGCCAAACAACCTTACGCTGAAGTTGATCCATTTGAAATGGAGCACTACCTGAAGGACGGTTATCGTTTGGCACAACCTTTCAATTGCCCCGATGAACTGTAAGTTGATGTCTCTGTTTTATTTATAATATTTTTTCAACACTTTTTAGATTACATCATATTCCTTTATATTATCTACATTTTCTGCTTTTTTTTCTTATTACAGTTTTACAATTATGGCTTATTGTTGGGCACTTTTACCGGGTGAAAGGCCCACATTCGCACAACTGCAGGTTGGTTTATCGGAATTCTATGCACAAATCACTCGCTATGTTTAAATATGATCGTTTTTACGATCTGAGAATAACGGCGTGAGCAGTCGATATTGATACTAAGCAATAATATTGATTAAGATAATCTAGTTTTTAATGAGCCTGTAGTAGTTAATAATGGACTTGCAATTAATGTTGGTGTTCTTGTTTGATGTTCACAATTATAATAAAGAAATATTAAAATGTGTAAGATTAAAAGGATTTAGGTTAAAGTATATGTCTACCAAAGAAGAAAAAATCCAGTTGAGAAATTGAAAGAGTTCGGAACTATTATGAAGAAAGCAGCAATGACTGGAAGGCGAAAATCAACAAAAAAAAATTACTGCAAAACTATATTTGTTACTTTTAATAGTTGAAAAAAAAACCGCAATGTAATATATACCTAATTATATAAGTACACTTATACATATATATATACATCAACAATATCTGTTATATGTATCCATACGTAAAGAAAGCCTAACTTATAAATGAAAAGAAAACTCCCAGACTTCCGTAGTTAGTTTAAAATTGTTAAATTGCCAAATTCGTAAGTTTTAAAATATTTATTATTCAGTATATATAAATATAGATATATGTTCATTTACATATATATAAAAAATAAATTACTTTAGGACATAAGTTATACGATACTAAAATTTAAATTTATTACGAAAATTAAAGTGATTAAATTAAATAAAATTAAATGTTTTTATATTACTCGCCTAGTGAGATTTTAACAATGATAATTTAGAAAATTAAAATAAATTAAATTATAAAAAAAAAAAAAATATATATATATATATAATGAGTATATGTTATATACGAAAATTCTCTTAAAAATTATAGTAATATTTTTTAGTCAAAAATCACTAAAAACAAAAAATAAATCAATTATTATTTATAATATAGAAATTATGAAAATTTATAGAGAAATTAAAAAATTAAATATCGAATACACAATAATATATATAAAGTTTTTATTTTAAATAAATAAATTATATTTATTTTCAAGGGGAAAATATATAAACATGACTTGATGGTTGTGTATCCTAACCACTACTCCATTATTATTTTTCCGTCTTCAACTACAAATCAGAACAAATTATTTTTTGTACATATTTTAACACCAAAACTAATTCTAATATTAATAATTAATTTAAAAGCAATTACTTTTATATCATTATAATATTTTTTGTGTAAAACTTTATTTAAAAATTAATAATATTATCATATATATTATAATATGTATTATAATATATATTATAATATGTATTATAATATATATTATAATATGTATTATAATATATATTATAATATGTATTATAATATATATAATATAATATATATATAAATATTATATATATATTTATATATGTATATATATATATATAATATATATATAATATATATTATAATATGTATTATAATATATATTATAATATGTATTATAATATATATTATAATATGTATTATAATATATATTATAATATGTATTATAATATATATTATATATATTATATTATTATTGTAAATTTTATACTATACGATACGTGAAATTATTTTTGAATTATATTTGATTTTATATTTATGTACTATATAATTTATACAAATATTAATAAATAATATTTTTTTAAAAATAAATATTGAAGTTTTTTTAAAGAATAATGTAGCAGTGGTTGGTTGGAGTGGAGGATATGCACATCAAATCTCTCTTGAGCACTTGTGTCCATTGTGACACTATGGATTGAGTATTGTTCCTCCAAGGGGATTAGAATAATCAGCAAAATGGATTTAAATACTAAAATAGACGGCACACAGATAACGTTTAGAGAACGTCTCTAATAAAACAGGTTCCAAAAATCCACAATCTTCTTCATTAATTGGCACTAATAAGATAAAGCATACAAGACTTCTAAGTCATATAGAAGACGTAATAAACTTGTCCCATATGTTTGAAAAAACTGTAGGTCTTTTCGCAGTTTTTTTTTTATTTTTTATTTATACAGCAAACTTTTTAAAATCGATTAAACGGAGAGCGAAAATAAAGTAGGTAAAATAACATGTTTAAAGTTGAATTGTTTATATGCGTTGAATCGATTTCAAGTCCCAAAGCAATTCAAACAACTAATTCGACTTAACAATAGCAATACGGAGCTGATGTTCTCAAACAGATCTAAATTTTGCCTAATCGTTAACTTATAAACCGGACATGCTTATATCAACTAAGCATAACTTTTAAAGATGAGATTAAAGGACGCTGACACAAGCGAATTCAGTGGAATTCCGGGTGACACATTCGCTATTATAACTCCTCGAGCGACTCGCTTCCATTCTATTGGTTTTATCAATGAGCAAATTTGTCATACTTGGTGTCAGGGTAATCCATTAGTAGTTAATGAGCTACCACTTCCTTCCTTAATGAAGTGGTAGCATCATCGAGCTGTCAAACACAATTAAATGTTGTCGATTTATCGAATTAGAATACTTTGATAACAATATAATCTCTTAAAATGCACTTATTGCCTAGCCACCAAGATCGAGGATAACACTTTCTACGATAGTACTTAGATTCTTTAGTCTATGCGCATAAGACAGCAGCTTTCAGCTTTCAGACATGGAAGCCAATATCATGAGCGTTATTTATCACATGATATGAAATGATTTATTATAAAAGGTGATGTGGAACTTAACCTACAGCATAAAGATGCTTCCGTGGCAGTCATAGGTCCAATATAACTTTTTTTAATGATTTGTACATACCTACGTGTATTGATTCAATTTAAAATTCTCCATCTCTAAAGGGAGTATACAGAAACTTCTTTAAGGGATTGTTTTAGAACTTATTTAAGATTCATTTAACAATATTTAAACAAAAAAATCTAGTAATATATGTAGGTATAGTACATATCTAGCGTAAAATAGTCTGAAGTACTTTAAGAAGACTTGAAAACGGTAGCTCTCCTAGTATACGCTATTGACACCTCAATTACAGAAGGTGATTATAGAAATGAGCACGAAACAGGTAAGGTGATAAAATGAATATCTACAAACGAAAAAAAATCTTGCAATATATATAAATATTTTAGAAATATAAGTAAATAAACTGATAAATAAGAATATGGATTGCTTAAGATACAAAGAGAATTGCATTCTAAGAAGTACTTATTTTCAAGGAACATAACATGTTTGATAGGAAAATGTGCGGAAACTGGTCAGATAAGACTATATATTGTAAGTTATATCAATAATAAAGATGATATCAATGTAATGGATATATTATGGCTAAAGTGAAGACTATATTGAGATAACAGTAAAAATATATTGTGGAGCAAGATAAATGCTTTCAGTAAAAGAGTTTAGATTATATTATGGTATTAGTAGTATGAGTGGATTAAGGATATGTTTATAAAAACACACCTCATTGTCTTTTTTAATGGTTCTTCATCATATGCAATGTATGTAGTTACTATTGTCAATATATACTGAATATCCCATGCCTTGATATCTTAGTCGTATTCCAATTAGTACTCTTACTTGACTTACTAAGGACAAATTTTTCTGTAATCTTTTACTGTGGATGAGTAGATTTTGTTTGCTCTTCAAATAAGCTAAATATAATTGCTAAGACCTTGAAAGAGTTCTTTAGGTGACTTCATACTAAATCATTTATTTAGTCCGACACCGAAGAGTTACTATTTGTATTATATGTTTCTGTTCTTGCCATTTTTACTGCTAGAAGTACTTTTATAGTATAACTCTGTGATAATACTTATTGGAGATATAATAAATATTAAGTATCCTTTAAATAAGCGAATTTATTGACCCAAGTTTTGTTAACCGCTTACTTGAAATGAAGTGGCTTCATTCTACTCATTATGGATATAACTGAAATATATCACAGATGTCAACGACATAACATACCTAATAACATAGTATTGAAAAAATACTGACTGACAACTTATTTTGTGCTCTTCTTAATAACAAAATGTACTAGTTGAGAATAAATCTGTTGACTTGGTATTAGCCCATTTACATAATATTGAAAAAAATATCATATAGAAAATGTAAAGAATCAAAGTATAAATATCAAGTAAAAATTCGGAACACAACTTTTAACTTTGCTTCCTTGCTAAGTAGGTGAAGATTCTTTCTGGTACACAAATGCATAGACTTATTGGACTTTGCTATGAGAAATTAAAGTGGTTCCTCTAAACGTCTCATCACTTTTCTTTAAATATTATCTAATTTGTTTTTGATCCATAAGATTTCTTAAAACACAAACATAATTTATATGAAATGTATTTTAAAAAATTTATAATCATATTAAAAATCAATAACCTTTGCTCTACTTTTAAAAGTACTACTTAAAATTGATTTAGAATTTTTATTCGGCTAAAAACTTGTACATAGAAAAATTTCATTTCAGACTGTCACAACTCATCTGATATATAATGAGATATATTTGGTATATATAATTTGAATGATATATTCTGTCCAAAATCACATATATATCATTTCATATTTGCAGACAGACAATAGGTCGATTTATTAATATAGAAACAATATGTGTAAAATCAAAAGACTTACTAATCTAGTTTCCTCCCCTTTATTGGATGTTGTACATATACATTTCATACCCTTAGACTTTAGACCCTACACTATAATTCACAAAGCTAGTGGTTTGGATTATTATATATTGTAATGTTCTTATTTATCAAATTAAATTTAGATATAATTCAAAATAAAATGGATCAAATGGATTAAATTTGAATTATATTAAAGTTGACATTTCATTATATTATATTTTTATCGTACATTATATACCTATATTGGTATTGCTATATATATGATTTTATATTGTTATATACAATATTCTAATTTTTCACATTAAATTGAGATGTAATCTAAAATGGGATTACAATAAACTTGATTCATTTCAGTATATTATACATTAATCGTGATCTCGTCAAGAAAAAATGAATTATAATATATAATATAAATATAATAAAATTGTGATGTCCTTAAACTTCAGTCTTCATTATTTACATTGCAGGTTTAAACAAAGATATATTTTCATGGAATTTATTAATTTTAAAATTATTAACATAATTATTCATATATTAATTAGTTATTAAAGTATGTTGTTATTGTTAAAGTTTTATTTATATAGTTTGACTGTCATTTATAAAGACACAGTCGTTCCAACAGTGATAAAAGTAAAAGGACTGCCAGATAACTCTCTAAACTTCGAGCGGCAATTGGAGTTTATAATTTCGAACTTAATTCTTACGACATTCTCTTATTATTAACATTGAATTATATCGCTATAATCTATACAATCACGCTGTATTGAATAAGTAAATTATAGTAACTGAGAATTATAAGATACACTACTCTCCCATGCTCATGCTCTCTCCTGCGTATGCTCTCCCAGTTATAATTGACTGCATTGCGTATACAAAGTTAGAGAAAAATTTAATCACTATGAACTATTATTTGACC